ATTATTGCACTCTTGTACCTGCTTAAAGCTGAGCAGGCCGGGCAGTGAATCCTTCATGCCGATGTCTTATGGGCTCAAAACAACACAAGAGGGCTCGTATCGCATTTTCTTTTCTTTAAAGCCAACAGGGAACAAACCGAGTCAGCCCTGGCAGTGAGAGGAAACATTGCCGCTGTGTTACTGATGACCTTTGACCTTCGTTTAGCAGATTCGGCTCTGTGCCAGACAAGCCACTCAGTCCTGTGTGTATGGGTTGAGGAATGCGCTGGGCTGCAGCAAGCTCATTAAGCAGTGCAGTGAGTGAGGGGTGAGGGCCCGTTGTTTGCACTGGCTTGCCTTCTCAGGCCCTGCAGCTCTTTGTGTGCAGATAGATCTGCGATCCCAGAGCTCTGGATGGTCCTGGGACCTCTTTGGTCCCAGCATACATAACTGTCCTTCATGATGCATCCATCAGACATACAAAGGCTACTGCAGATACACTGCTCGCCTTTGACTTGAGCAGCAAAACAAGATATTTCACAGTTGTTCTCCTTCCAAGGCCCAAAGTGTGAGCACATCCAGCAAGAAATACCTGGTCTGTACCCAGTAACCTTGGAGTGTAAGTCAGCAGTTTAAATAGCTTGTTCCAGTCTGAGCAGCATGCAGCCTTCTGAGCAAAAGTTCCTTTTTCCCCCCTCCTCTGCCCTTGCTTTGTTTTGTCGCTGATAGCAAAGGGAAGAGGTGTGGGAGGGGAGGTCGGAGATCAGACACAAATCATCCTGTGGTGCTTCTGCACGTGAGAATGGTCAGGTGGTCATTTCCCCGCAGACGTGACCTCCGAGCAAATCAAATGCAAGATTTACAATTAAATCCTCAGCTGCAGGGAAATTACTGGCTGGTTTTGTTTTTGTAGTTTCAGCAATTTTCAGTTTTATTAAAGTCACGAACACTTTTCAGTGCTAATACGTTGCTGTTACACCAAAATAATGCAGAGTATCACCTTTTCTCTTTATTTTGCTTTAGAAACAGTAACACTTTGAAATGAGAGGATTTCAATTTTAAAAACACATCATTATTGTGTCCATCATATATTGAAACCTTTACTTTTGGACTTGTTGACACACAAGCCAGAAATCAGCCTTAACTACAAAACCTTATGTGACACCACACCAACAGTCTCACACTGTGACGGTATTCATGACTGAAATATCAAAGACTATTCTATTTTCAACCCAGACAAATTGGAAAATTTTATGTGATTCAGAACCACGTGGGCCAGACTGCGAACTGTCTGCTCTTCAGGCCTTCACGTTCATCTGGTGCCACACTTTGCATGGATGTTTGTAACAATCTGATAAACACTGCATGACCAGGGCTTGGTTTAGAAACAACAAATGTGCGCGAGGGAGGGTCCTAACCTCGCTCCAAATCGGCTGTGCGCTCTTGAAAAGAAATAGCAAGTATGTCTTGCGAGGGGAGACCGTGTGCTGCTGGGAGGGAGCTGTCAGGGACACACTGCCCTGTTTAACCAGATCTTGTCTTTGCATCAGAAACACAAGGCTTTTCTTAGAAATAGTCACAATAAAGACAGAAGGGAGGTGTGTGTAGTATTCAATACATGGCTCAAGACAGAGGCTCAGCCCAAACCTTCTGAAACTTAAGTGACAAAAATGTTAAAGTTGGTCATTACCAACTATGAAAGAAAGAGCCTGTTTGATGTCAATTTAAAAGCAACAACGAGCAGCCGTTTAGTTTAGCTTAGCTAAGCATAAAGACTGAAAACAGGTAACGAATCACACCTCTAAAGCTCACTAATTAATTTGTTGTATGTTGTTTGTTTAATCTGTAAAAATCTAAGTTTAAGGAGGGACAGGAGAGGCTAGCTGTTTCCCCGCTTCCAGTTTTTGGGAAAAACTAAGCTAACCGGCTACTGACAGACAGCTTCATATTTAGGGTGTACCATACAGGTATGAGAGATGATATCAAACTTCTCATCTAACACTTCACACAGTTCATGTAAATAATAGTTCAAATCTTTATCAGAATAGGTCACAATTGGTAAAGCCATTTCTCTTAACTTAGAGAAAATTTAATACCAACATTTTTGCTGTTTTTTTTCTCTTTTCTATATTATGTATAATCTCTTCATTGTTCCCAAGATACATTACAGAACAATTGTAACAAACAAATATTCCATAAAAAATTATTGTTCTTTTATGCAGGTCCAGAAACATTGTTTGCCTTTAGGTCATTAAGGTGGCAAGTTGTCTGCTTTTGATTTAGGGTGTAGCGAAAAGAAATGGTATTTCTGAAGGCTTGAATACCAAACAGTGCAGACATTCATTTTATTTTCATGTGGTAAAAGCAATGGTGAAAGTGCATCTGTGCACATTTCCATCCTCTGCATGCCAGGTAAAATATGTGGTGGGCATATAGGTGGGGCTTGTAATGAATAAGTCAGTAAAAACAAGAGTTTTCTTTTGGGGGGGTAGCAGTCAGGCAGAGTATTCAGGGAACGCCTTGTTTTTGTTTTTCATTACAAGAGAGGGAGAGAAGGAGGAGTGGGATGCAAGATGGTTGCCCATTGGCTCAAGTTACCCTTTGGATGATGTGTATGTAGCGCTGCCCTGTGCAGCTGAGCACACTGCACTGAAAGAAGCCTTTTTTTTAAACCCAAGAGAAAGTCATCCACTAGCTCGGACCCCGCTCCCTTCCAAAAAAACACTCGCCCCCCCCCCCTCTGCTGCAGACCCCAGCTCCTTCCTGCCCGCTTCCCCTGGCTGCAGCCCAAGTGCTTAATGTGGCTCGACTGGGACAGGTTGGAGACGGGCCCCCACCTCTACCCTCAGAAGACACTTGTTTTCCAGTGGGATGAGGGTGTATTGGTGTTGGCAGGGTGGAGCAGAGGAGAGGAGGGGTTCAACTGGTGGGGGGAATTGGCCCCTGGGAGAGGAGGAAATAAAAGAACGAGAGCACTTTCACACGCCCTGTTTTTGGAAACGCCTGCATGCACCTGTAGATAGGTAGAGATGGTTTAAAGGGCACATATATACATTAAAATCCGGTGCATATTTTTTATAGCTACAAACAAATCCCTAGAAATGTAAGATGCAACTATCACTTAGGATTTTGGATTATGTTATGTTTGGCCGTCTCTGGCTGACCTCTAAATGAGACAGATGGGGGTAGTGAGAGGGTCTTACTTTATGTGAATAACACAGGCGACGCCCTTCCTGAAAAAGAAACAGGGAAAGGCCTGTGTGTGTGTGTGTGTAAAGAGTGTGTTCTTGTGTACTAGCTGTGTTCTACCGTGTGTGGGGCTCTGCAGCCGGCCCTAGAGAGCTTCATTTCTCCGATTAGGTTTATTGTGGTTGCAGCGATGGCCAGTGGAGACCTTGCATTGTTGGAGTTTGTTTACCATTCAGACAGAGTTAGCCAAAGGAACGAGAGAAAAGGGGGAAGGCTAGCTCAGAACAAAGAAACGGTTCATGGACAAGCTTGACTAATGGACGATTGAAAGGCCTTTATGAACAATTTTGAATGCACCAAGGACAGACAGGACAGGAGGTAATCTGCTGATAAAAATGTGAATAAAAGCAGTCAATTGAAATAACATTAAAAAAAATCTATGCATCCAGTACATCCGTCCAGTCGGTGTCCACACAGAGATTAACTTTGCCTTCTTGTCAGTATCACTGAAACAAATGTCCAAATGGTAAATCAAGTGAGCTGTTTACTTGTGGATTCAGGGTTGTCGTCCTGCAGGGCTTTGGCAGGGAAGCAGGGCCACAGTTTGTGTCTTCAGTTCAACCAACAGAGTGACGAGAACAGATAACCTCGAACAGAGAAACTCGTCAATGGCAGTCTAGCCACGTTTTACGGACTCTCCCTCAGTTTTAGGGTATAGCAGGGTTTTCATTTGGTCAATCAATCACACGATTTAGTAAAAGTGAAATAGACAGCAGAGATGGACAGTGGTAATGCACCACTACACAGTGCACAGCTAAATTGAGGTCAGTATGTTGCACTGAGGCATTCTGCATATACATTAGTAACAGTGAGTAGTCGCAATTGTGCAGTGCAAGGATGTTTTTGTGAATACACAACCAAACTTAACACATTTTGTCACAGAGGCAGGCAAAAACCCAAAAAACAGTTACATAAATATACTTTTTCTAAAAACAGAAAAGTCTCGAAGCCAAGGGCCTGTTTGTCTCTTTGAATGTGTGTCACATGTGGGTGGGCAGTGAAAACACATCTTATTGATGAGGAACGATGTAAATGTTGTGGTACTTACATGAGCACTGGCTGTATGATAAGAAATCTATAATGATAAATGACCAGACTTTCCCTCCATGATTCTAAAAATAGTTAAATATTGTGTAGCTATATCAGTGTATGACATTTACGTTCTCATTCTGGCATACTTTTTATGGATTAATGAGTTATTCCAGATTACTGGACTGGACTTTGGGAACATTGGTTGGTTGAATATCTGGTTACACGTCGTTGGTTGGTGTAGCTATTCTCAGCTTAATTACATGGGATTCAGACTATTTATTGGAAACGCCAATATAATAATTGAATTTAGATCGGCATTTGGTTTGCCATTATCGGTAAAAGCTCTTACATGAACTGTTCCTGCTTGTTGTTGTGAATGAGGGTGTTTGCATTGCAGATAGACGAGGATGTGATTCCTCACGGGGGACTTGAAAGTGTTTTGCTGGAGCCTCAAGCTCAACCATCTGAACATGTAACTTCTCACAGTCAAGCCCAGAGTCACAACTGAAACCAAACCTGCAGAGCACCAACCCTGATCTCGTAGTATTCAGTCGCCATTCTCACCGCTTTAGTACATGTTTCTCCAGCACAAAAAAAGAACATGACAGTCATACAGGAAGCACAGCGTTTCTGCCCTTCAGGGATGGGCGAATATGCTCTTATCGGTCGGTTTGTGTAGGTGCCTTCTCACTTTTCTGCTGGTGGATGTCTGCTGACTCACCCTGTGCTTGTGTTTGCAGACGTGCCAAACTACGGCTGTACTTGGAGCAGCTGAAGAAGCTGGTGCCTTTAGGTCCAGACAGCACGAGACACACCACACTGAGCTTGCTGAAAAGGGCCAAGATGCACATCAAGGTACTAAAATAAAACAAACATACATGCCATGTTCACATGACTGATGTTTCTCTTTTCATCTGCTTGATAAGTTAGCCTTTCAGAGCTATCATTTAAGTTGTTTGAGAGATCACTGATGACGATTTTGATTATTGTTTGTTATTTATCGAGCAAAAATGCCAAACATTTGCTGACTCCACCTTATCAGATCTTGTTTTCATTGTACATGAAATATCTTTGGTTTCCTAACTGTTCGTCAGACAAAACCAGCAGTTTAAAGAGGTCGCGATGGGCCCTGGTAAATCATGAATGACATGTTTAAACATTTGATTAATCAAAAAATTATCAAGGGTCCAACTAATTGTGAGTTGCAGCTCTGGTGTGGAGGAGACCAAGCTGAACGTCTCCTATGAAAGCCCAGTTTGTCTTCTTCTTGAGCTTCACGAGCACCAAACTCTTGCTCCACTTCTCCTGTTTCTTTTAGCTGTTTGCTTTTCTTCCATGCCTACTTTAAGTACTATATTGTTTTCTAATCTTTCAATCACCACAGTTCAAGTACTCCCAAGACTGAAAGGAAACACAAAATGAGTCAACAAAGTTGAACATACAGGACATTTGGTGGCTGATCTTTAGATACATGAAATGGAGATAATTGGATGTTAGGTTTGTTTAGAGCCAACTCCTCCATCCGTGGTTCATTAACTCGTGCAGCTCACACACACACCATGTAAGATACTTTTCAGAACGGTTTAGGACATGCTGTGCTGATTTTGCTGCTTACAAGCAGCAACAGTGTGGTTGATGGAAAATCCAGACGTAGCGAGTTTTAACCCTTCATTTCCTGTTTACCATGCACGTCCTCTCTGCTCAGACGAATTCCGCTAATTCTCGTCACTTGTGTTCTCGCATCACAGAGGGGCCACATATGTTTTAGACTTTGCTTTGATTCACCACTGAAAACTTTCATATGCAAATGAATGCAAAATCGAATCCCACGTTGAGTCAAATTATTTTACAAGAGTTTATGTTTATTTTTACTTTCTAACCTAAAAACCTCACACAGTCACTTGGCCACTTCCTTATTTCATGATGAATACTCTCCTTTGTAACTTTGGTGGAGGTCTGATTGGCAGGAGATGATAAGAAGAAAAACAGCATCTGCATAGTCAAGCAATATCAAGCTTAATAATTAATTAAAAATAATTATAAAAGCAAGTTATTGAATAGAGTTAAAAAGATTTTTTTACTTTCTTTTCTTTTATTACATAGTATGTGGTGGGCTGGAAATCTTAATTTAAATGTGGTATTATTGTGTGCCTTTTATACAGAGCCCCCAAAAGGTCACAATGGGATTGTTTTTGTCTGAACTACTTTTCTGCGCCCTCACAATAAGTTTTGGTTTCCTATTTCAAAGGTAACACAAAACATATTGCGAGGGAAAGAAAAAATATCCCAGAAAGAAATGTGACCTTTCGAAGGAACCATACATTGTTTCAACGGTACGAAAAAAAAAGAAAACGAAAAGATTACAGCTATACAGTTTTCACAGTACTCAAAGATGGGGATGGGTCCGGCGAACATTATCGTTGATTCTTGGCATTTATGTGTGTCTCTGCAGAAGCTGGAGGAGCAGGACAGAAAGGCTTTAAACGTGAAAGAGCAGCTGCAGAGAGAGCACCGCTACCTCAAACGCCGCCTGGAGCAACTTTCTGTGTCCGGATCAGTTGAGCGCATCCGCACTGACAGCATGGGCTCGACCATCTCCACCGACTCCGAGCAAGGTACATTGGCTTAACAACTTTATAGAGTGGGTAGAAACGTGCGTGCCATATTGTGAAATGCTTTAACTGAAAACGTACATGTCACTCAGAACTTTTCTCAATTGACAATGTGCAGCTCTAGTGCAACGTGTGGGCAGTCCTGGGCATTGTTGTGGTCAGGGCTTTATGTAACTATGACATGTAAGTCACCTCCACATTTGATGCAAATCAATAACAACCCGGTATAGCTCTGGCTGAGGCTGATACATACACTGTACACCCTGAAGCTATAACAATAACTGCTCACAACACCACCATTAGCCCTTTCATCTACATGTGAACCCAGTCAGAGCTACTTTGGCTGTCTGTATTCGTCTCGCTGTCCACTGATGAACTCTGAGCCTCAATGTGGTCCAAGTGAAAAGCCACTCGATGATTAGCCCTGGCCTTGTTTGCAGTCGAGCCCCGGGGTCAAGGGTTAACAAGAAATCTAGGTCTCCTCTTTAGCTACTGATGGTGGGAGATTCCATGTAAAGTGTTCTTCTGTGTGCTGGTGCCAGTTGTAGCAGCTCTACAGCTTTGTCACGTTTCATCTGTCAAAAAAAAGTCGTTGAAATGAGGGGGCCGCTCAGAACAGCTATAAACACTTTTGCCCTTGTCGATGTGGTCGGACAACATGCCGTGTGAACTTCTTTTTTTAAAGGGGCCAATCTGCTGTGTCACCAGCGTCAGAGACTCCCCTGAAATGCTTAGTTTGGACGGTTACAGTATGTTTACTAATCCTGGATGAGGTAAACACACATGCAGTTGTTTATCAATGGATGGGGATTAGCTGTGGGAGCACAAAGATCTGCCTGTTTGCCCAGAGTTAATGGCTGTCTAAATCCGGGTTTAATCCACACGTGCAGCAGGCTCCCTAATAAATATGCCCACAGTTGGGTGTTTTTTTAAACAGTACTGAAAATAACCCGGTGTGTTTTCTCTTTTCGTGCAGAGGTGGACATTGAGGGCGTGGAGTTCACTCCTGTAGAGGCGGACAGCGTGGACAGTATCAGCGACGGCGAGGAGGAAGACCACTACAGCCTCCAGAGCAGCTCCAGCGACACCAGCTACACAGCCACACATTCCCACAGACTGCAGCCGCACCACTGTTAAGACACCATGCGGCCATCCATTTCCCAACCAGCTTCCTCCAACATGCTTCCTTTCCCTCCCCGACCATTCGCGATCATCAACGCCGCCCACTACCTTCATCAGACCAGACAGCAGCGGTACACCCTGAACCTGTTCCTTCTTTTCCTGGCCCTGGCTCTCCAGGAAGCACATGAGGCTGAAATGCCACTCCAGCCTTCCTGACCCCCCTGACCACTGACCCTACCTCACCCTACTGTATCCTGCCTGAACCTGCCCCTCCTGACACGCCCTGCCCTCCCACTGCCCTCACAACCCCTACCTAGTGTTGCCGCAGGCTAAGAGAGAACAGCGCAGTGTGGTGTGGTGGACAGCTTTGACTTGTTAATCAGAATTTTGTGAAGTGCGTGTTTGTGCGGTGTGTGTGAGAGACCAAGCCAGGAAGTTTAAGAGAGGTCAAAAACAAAATATAAGCTTCACGTCATCTCCATGGCCATAACACACAGGCAAGGCGTTGCACTAAGTTTGTGATGTAAAAGGTAAAGACCTTCTCTTTGTTCTGCAATATATGCAATAGAGGGACCTCGAAAGTTATTTACAACATACAGTATCTTCCCTTGACACGTTAAGACTTAGAGGAATAGCTATTGCAGTTCCTTGAAACATTTGACTGCTGAAAAAAGGTCAAAGATTAAAGGAATAGTTTGACATTTTGGGAAAAATAAACAGACATGAGTGGCATAGATCTTCGGATTCCAACTTCCCCAAGCTATTCTTTTAATTGGTCCACTTTTTTTATGTGCAGCAGTGCTTCTGCAACTGCGTGACCTACAATGGGACTTTTTCAGTGGCTACTATCATTACTAAATGTGGCCGATCTTTGGCCAAAAACAAATGAAAAAGTTACAGAGCTGTAGCAGAGAAGAAAGAATGTATATAAATGTACAGTTACTATCCAAACCGTCAAGTCTCCCTCTGGTTGGGTTGCCTAACCACTACTCCACACTACTGACCACTACACTATACCACCCTATGGTGTGGATGGACTACTATGTCGAATAAAAAAAAAAAGGAGTTGCCTCAGAACTAAAACTCTATTACTTAAAGATTGAATAAAATCTTGTGTTTCCTCAGTAGCGAATTGATGTAGCAATAAATACAAGAGGGCTTCCTCTGAGTATTTAAATGATTCTGGTGGAGCATGAGGTGTCACGGGAGACTTTTCTTTTTCCTTTTTACCCTGTAGATGGCAAGTGGGTGCTTACGGAGAGCAGACCTGCAGAAAAAGGGGCAGTTCTCCTTTTTCTGTTTCACTAATGGATCCTTCTTTCTGCTCACGGTGCCATTCACCCAGAATTTTAATTTCTCTACAGCTCTGCTACTTTTTCAAGCAGTGTTCATGCGTGTGTGGATTGTTTTTGTTCTGATTACCAAGTCAAAGCTGCATATGTGGAGAAAAAAATATTAAAAAGGAGGGAAAAAAAGAAGAAAAAAAGAAAAAGAAAAAAAAGGGCCAGCTCTAAAGATTGGTTCTCTATAGAGGCGTTCATTTTAGCTAATTTAGCAAAATAATTACATTTACCTTCTTTCTACTCTGTTGCTTTTTTTCCTGGAGGTTCTAGGCACTGCTGAAGACCGGTGCAGAAGAAATTTCTTCTCTAACCTGTCTGTAACTTATGCACAATAGTCACTATTGACGGAGGAGGCGCTTCTGTCGCTCTCTGACTATTTAATAATCATTAGGCCTCAGTCTATGGCAGTCCTTAGAGCTTGGCGTCCCAACACTTACAAAAATGAGGGCCGGCCCACCGTGGCAGGTCTGACCAAAAAAATTTTAAACTACGAAAGACTCAACGAAAAAAAAACTTGCATACAAAAGAAGCTGTGTCACAAAAAGTGATATTAGTCAGTGTAGTCTATATTTCTTGTATTAAATTTTGTATTATATTTTCCTAAATGTTCTCTTGTAATGAAAAGACAAAAAAAGAGTAAGTATATACAGATATATATAGAGAGAGACATATGAAAGACAGACAGACACGAGGCCAGGCTTGTTGTAGGGAGAGTGGGGGCAGGGGAGCTGATACACTGGCCCCTCTCCCTTTGAGTTACTCTCCTGCTGTCATTCTGTGCCTTGGTGAGCCTTCGACTTCCCTTCTCCTCCTCCTCTTCATCCCATCTCCTCACCCTCGGCCCCTACTCAGGTCACACTCCCCTCCCTCTTCTTGTCCTCTGGCCGGGCTGAAAGCTTTGATTTCAACCCTTACCATGCCAAAACACTTCCATGAGCAAGGGGCACTTGAAGAAAAGACCTCATTTTAAATAAAAAAAAACAAAAACAAACAACAAACAACAAACAACCCCAGCCCCTTTGGTCTCTACTGAGAAGCCGCTGATGTTGTACACCCTGTCGAGGCACTCCCCACCCTCTTGACGCCAGTGCCGCCTCTGTCACAGAAAAATTTAAAGAAAAACCACACACTGGTAAACTCCCATGGCAGCTTCCAGTCACCCCGAATGGTCACCAATGGGGTTCAAAACTTCTGGGCTTGAAGCGTGTTTTTCTTTTTTGTTGTTGTCATTTTACTATTATTAAATGTTGACTATGTGTTTGTTCAGTGGGAGTCACTGGGAGAGGAGCGATAAAAGAATAATCCAATCGATGGCAGCTTAAGGTGTTATCCTCTGCACTCCCAGTGGTCTGTCCCGAAAATAGTGTTATTTGATCAGGGGACCTCGAGACACAGCAATATTACCATCTCGTGCTTTCTGAGGGAGGGTGGGGTGGGCAGGGTTTTTAACACAAGCAGGTGGTTTTGCTTTTGACTCTGTGGTGCATTTTTTTGGTGACCAATTCTATATTTTGTTTTAATGAATTTTACCTCCTATCTGCACTCTCTCCATACACTGCAGGAGGGCAAAAACAAACAATTAACAAGAGGTTTAAAAAAAAACAAAAGGTTTTTGGAAAGAGCTGTTTTTATTCTACTTGTCATTGCGAGTTTACATTCATGTCAAAAGAATTTGTACATGACTGTTGGTAGCAAAAATGTTCTTCAGCTTTCTGGTCAAATGAACAACTTAGACACCATGTTAATGGCATAAAGTTATTCTCTTGCACAGAACCTCCCTGTAGAAGAGTGACAGATAAAAACACGGTGAATGGGATGAGTTTAGGGCCAGATATGAGATTATAATTTTTCAGTGGCGTCATTGAAAAATATACATAGCACACACTCAGAGTGAGTGGTTTTTGAGCAGTTGACTGGTTTGGTAACATTTTGTCTGAATGCTGGATGGACAGTGTTTATGGAAATTCTTTTAATGATGTGCCTTGGAAAAAGTTATTTTCAAAAAAACAAAACAAAAAAACAAGCAGAGATTGTACCATTTAATGAAGACTGTTATATCGGTCACAGTTATTTTTAACCCCTTGGCGGCTTTAGAGCAAGTATAGACAAGGTTTGATATTTGCTTTCATGTTTCTGTTGCACAGAGATTTGTCAGTGTGTTTGGTTTTCTGAGAGCACACAAGTAATAGGGAGAAGTCAGCGGGGGGGGGGGGGGGATCAGGGTGAACCACAGACTGAGGACAGTCACACAGAGCGGGGTCAAGGCAGAGAAGATGAAATTAGAAACGCAGAAGAAAGACACCAACCTGTGCCAGAGACTGCTGAGTAATGGTGCTTGTACAAATCAACACAAGGACTTCCATGAAATATTATTCCTGCCAAATAAATGGTCACTTTTAAACCTTCCGTGCTGAATGATTAGTAAAAGTCCCTTTATGTAATTTCAGATAAATAGCTTTAACTACTTGTAACCTTTAGGTCAACATCCCGCTTTCCAGACCCCAGCCTTTTAACTCTTGTCTCCTTATTTTGCATCTTGATGCATCTGGTGACCCTCTACACAGTGCTCTAAGATGGGTGTCACACCAGCATTATGGTTCATCTCTTGTACCCACAAGAACCTAGAGGCTGTGGAGGAGGGCGGGCTCGCTGGGATTTAGTTGAGATGGAGGACGGTGGGGACTTTGTTTGGGCTGACAACTGTGCAGAGTAGGGAGAGTTCTGTGCCAGAGACCTGTGAATATGTTCCTTTTTAGCGAATGTGTAATATGCATTCAGAAGATGTTATATAAGTTCCTTTTTTTTGTGTGAGTGTGTGTACACGAGTACCTGGTGCTGGCTACATTTGAGCAAACACTTGAAGGTATAGTGTATTCTCTCATTGTAATATAATTAAAATGTTTTATACATAAAGTTGCCGCAGCCTTGTTACTGCCTGTTAAATGATGTATGATACACTGTGCGGATTTACACACCGCTTATTGTGGGGGAAATGGAGCCTTGTGACAACCTTCAACTGAACAAAGCAGCAGGAATATGCAGATAAAGGTGTTCAAATGTTACAGGGCTTCCTGTTTGGTTTGTGCAGCTGTGAAACTGATCTGCAGTTTGGAATATTAACTCGTTTTTTAAAAAGGTCAGAGTTCATGTTTTGTCGTTTAAGCAGAGAAACGTTACCTGGTGAAATCAACAAAGAGGCAAAATTAAATCAATAAATTATCACTTTTTATTAAAGCTTAATTTGACAACAGACACTAGACTTTAACTTGCAGGGTTGGTTAAACATGTTTTGTGGCAAAAAAAACATTCAACTCTGATTAAATGTCCAATGGATCCTGTTTTACATACTTTTTGTTAAAATCTAAACCTGGCTAAAATAAATCTACATACTCCATATTACAAATGCTTAATGCTAAACAATCCTCCATAAATACATCACATTAATTATTTTGAACTATATTTCAAGTCTTACAGCAAAATAAATCCAGACAATTCTATCTAAAAAGGGAATGCAATCAGTGAAATATTTTGACCAGTCATCTTCATCACTACCTCAGCTTCATATCAACAGGCAGACTGAAACTATATACTTTAAAATATGTTCATTGACACACCTCAATGACACAGTCATACTGTTAAAGGCTAATCACATTAGAGAGTAAATCTGAGTCAATCCGACTTTTTTTGATACAAGTCACTTTGGTATTTTGTGACACTTCAATTCCTGCTGAGCTGGCAGTGACTAACCAGTAGCGTTTATACAAAATCTTCATTTGTGTGCAATATTACAAAATAGATTATGTGCTGACACTAGTAACCTATACAGTGTGCTGATGTGTTTCAAAGTGGGAAGTTTCGTACAGATGCAAACCCAGGAAATCTCAAGAAAGAAAGAAATCATGAGGAACCAATATACAACAACTGTTTAAATTAAATGCACACTGAACTATTAAAAGGGTAAGTTTGGTATTTTGCATACTGGAGCCCTATTTTCCCATGTTTGTGTGTCTATGTGACTAGTTGGGTCATCTTTTGAAATTGGTCCAGTATTGTGGTGGACCAGCAACACCTGTGTTTGCTGCAGCCTTGTTTCGTTTGCTGCAGACTGCAGCACGCTCGCTCAATACTGGCCTAATTAGTCATCTAGACACAAGAACATGGGAAAAATAGGGTCATTTGAAACAAAAAAACAAAGTCTTTAAATTATAATCCTTGTCCATCCTTAGGTGAAATTAAAACTTCAGTCACAGTATTATGTTACCAAATCCTAAAGAATAGTATTTTATAACATTTGAAAATGCCATACCAAGTTTTACCATAATATTGAAAGCAAATAAGCATACTAAAACAAATTTGATACATTAAATATATTGCAAGACACGAAAATGTGCATTTACACCTGATGTAGTTTCAGCATTAAAGGGTGCTGCTGGTCAAAATCTGAAAGTTTCCACAAAGGCAACTTGTTTCACAAATAGGCTCAGCACCTGAGGTTTAATGAAAGCGGACAGAGAAGACGGAAAGTTGAGAATAGAGAAAGAAAAAGATTGGGCGTAGTGAACAGAGGTAATCCGACGAAAACACAGATTGCAGCGTTAAGAGAAAAAACAGCAATCAGCTACACCCCAGAAAATATCAGTCAAGTCAAGATGATCAAAAAGGCATTGTGTTGAGTTCATGTCACCTGCAACAGTCCTTCACACACTGTCCTGTCAGACGTACTGCTGGGGTTTCTGTGGGACAGCAGCAGCTGAAGCCAGGCTCTTGGCTGCCTCCTTAGCCTTCTCTGATGCATCCTTCACTGTGTCCCTGAGCAACCGCTGGGGCGTCTCTCCTGTGAGCCCAGAGTGTCGAGAGTGTCGAGAGTGTCGAGAGTGTCGAGAGTGTCGATCGAGAGAGAGAGAGAGAGAGAGAGAGAGATTTCTTAAGGCCTTTTCAGACGTAGAATACATAACTTTGCTGGCTTCACCGAGTTGTTAAAGTGATGCCATTTTGTTGTTCGGACATAAGGTGATGTTTACGTGTTCCTTATGGCTTTGTTCAGACAGGGGCACTTGACCCAACTTTGGTGTATCTATTATTTAATTCTAGTTTCAGATATAGACTATAAAATAGGCAGCAAAATTTTCTGACCGCACACAAACAAGCAGGAAGTTGATTTTGCAGGATATTAATTTATTAATTGATGCTGCTGGTCTGAATGAAAGATCAAAATATGAGACATCTGGTCTGATTATTACTGTGGTAGTACAAAGGTTTTCTAACCTCTTTAGCCCTGATCACAATGGACGGAAAAATTTAAGAGACTGACTAGAGAAGTTTAGTATTTGGCCTTGTGCTGCCTTTACATTAATCTGAATTCAAACTTGTGCCGTGTGTAAAAGTGACCAATATGTCAAGTTACCATCACATGTATGTAAAGAGGTTCATGTCTGAAAGTGACCTGATGTAATAGCACGCAAGATGGAAAGGTGACAAAACATAAATCACACACTCATATCTGTAACGGCCTCACACTGGATTTCCTGTCATTGGCTACCAGAGTCTATTTGAGTCTGACCTCACTGTGAACCTCCAAACTTATAGTAACCTCAGGTGAGAATAACTAGAATCGCACTATGACTGACTAAACTGTGAGAGAGAAAGAAAAGTGTAAACTGCTTACACAGTTGATTTCTACCACGTACATTCTTTTATTTTGATACAAGTGATTCATTGTATTACAGTGTATAAAAATACAAGTGATCTCATGTGGTTCTATAAATATAGTAGCTTTGTATCAATTTTACATAAACTGGTCTGATTAAATCTAAATGTGTGATTTTGGCAATGGATAGTGGAATTAAAAATATTGCGGATTGTTGAGGTACCTTCAGCTCTATAAATGCTAAACAGTTACTAACTTCTTTTGCACAGGGTTTTGTGAAAAGCAGGTACAAGGTTTGTTCTGGCTTTCCCTCTCTAGCTCAGTCTAACGCCTAGAAGTAGAAAATAAGATTCTTTTTTAAGAAGTAAAGGAGGAAGCTGGAGCGTAAACTCCAACAGAACAACATGAGGGAGGTCTGGAGCGGCATGAGGAACATCACTGGCTTCAGACCGACTGGCAGCAGAGGAGCTGAAGGCAGCTTGGACAGGGCCAACCAACTTAATCTGTTCTTTAACAAATCTGACTCAATGGCTCCCGCCCATCCCCCTACTAACTAAGCTGCTGTCTCACCTCTAACTGTGAGACACCAACCCCCCCCCTCCTCTGGCTCTCAGGTTAACAGCTCTCACCAGCCTGATGACTCCTCCTCTCCCCCTCCCCCACCTGTAACCTCTGTGTGCCTCACTGCTGACCAGGTGACCAGACAGATGAGGAGACTCCACTCCAACAAGGCTGCAGGCCCTGACGGTGTCCGTCCCGGGATGCTCAAAACCTGTGCCCCCCCAGCTATGTGGAGTCCTTCACCACATCTTCCACCTGAGTGTCAGTAGGGTCCCTGTGCTGTGGAAGACATCTTGCCTCGTTCCTGTGCCAAAGACGCCACGTCCCAGTGACTCCAAGGACTACAGACCTGCGGCACTGACCTCCCACATCATGAAGACCCTGGAGAGACTGGTTCTGGATCAGCTGCGGACCATGGTCAGCCCTTCTCTGGACCCACTACAGTTCGCCTACCAGCCCCGACTGGGAGTTGAGGACGCCATCATCTTCCTGCTCAACTGCATCTACGCACACCTGGACAAGCCGGCGAGCACTGTGAGGGTCATGTTTTTTGACTTCTCCAGTGCTTTCAACACCATCTGGCCGGCCCTACTGGGTGCGAAGCTGACAGCGATGCAGGTGGATGCCCCCCTCGTGTCCTGGATTGTTGACTACCTGGCAACAATCCAGGACATACTGTGGTCTGCCTAACTGGCAGACCACAGTATGTGCGCCTGCAACACTGTGTGGCAGACAGAGTACAGAGCTGTGGTGGGGGACTTTGTCTCAAAGAGCTGGTTGTGGATCTAAGGAGAGCCAAGGTACCAGTGACCCCTGTTTCCATCCAGGGGGTCCCTGTGGACATTGTGGAGGATTACAAATACCTGGGAGTGCACATGGACAATAAACTGGACTGGGCCAAGAACACGCAAGCCCTCTACAGGAAGAGCCAAAGCCGTCTCTATTTTCTGAGGAGGCTGAAGTCCTTCAGCATCTGCAGGACGATGCTGAGGATATTTTATTAGTCTGTGGTGGCCAGTGCTATCCTGTTTGCTATTGCATGCTTGGGCAGCAGGCTGAGTGTAGCGGACGCTAACAGACTCAACAAACTGATCCACAAGGCCAGTGACGTTGTGGGGGTGGAGAGGAGGATGCTGTCCAAACTACATGTCATCTTGGACAATGTCTCCCACCCACTCCGTCACTTGCTGCTCAAACACAGGAGCACTTTCAGTGCAAGACTCATTCCCCCAAAATGCACCACAGAGCGCCACAGGAAGTCATTCCTGCCTGTGGCCATCAAACTTTATAACTCCTCCCTTTAAGTGTCTGACACTTAGTCAGTTATTAAACTAGACCTCATTATCTAGTTTCTGTCCAATATTACCCGTTTAATAATTAATGTGCAATATTCTCTGCTGCTATTTATTCACTAGTCATTTTTGGTTCACCATAATAATTCTTAATAATGTAAATATTGTACATACCCACACACCTTTATATTTGTCTTTATATTTCATATTTATACTATTATATTTATATACTCTTTATCTATCTACCTTTGACAAGTGTGCAATTGTGACAAAAGAATATCCCCTCGGGGATCAATAAAGTATTTCTGATTCTGATATTTAGTACTGTCATTTTCCTAAAAAAAAAAAAAACTACTTTAAGGGCCTGATTTACTAACACCTGGAATAAAGAGTACTAAATTGCGTGTGCATTCTAAAATTTTACACGTGTAATTGTTGTAAAACCTTGGTTTGTTTCATTCAGTGTGTCAGTGTGTGAAAATCCTATGTACCTGCCCATCCTGCCTAAGATTGCACTAAGTACTTGGGACAGCACACCTGAAAAACTGCTTTGGGAAACCCCAGCAGAAAAAGCTACAGTATGCTGGAATGACCCAGACGCGAGGAAATACCAGCAGATCGTTCCCTCTGGCTGGATGAATTTTACGTGTGATCCATGCACTGCAGCTGGGGGCTCTCCGCAGCGCCACGCAACTTTCTAAATTCTTCCATCTCAGGGAGAAAATAAGTCAAATCGAAATTAAATTTGCTTTATTGGCATGAATGTTAATACAGTTTTGCCAAAGCTTCAAGGAAAATACAAAAAACCCAAACATTTCAATTCATATAGTTTATCGAATAAATAAAATAATTTTATTTCTATATATTGGATATAGAATAATATCTGATATTTTTATTTTCTCTACATCTTCTTTCATTATGGCTGTGTCTCCTTCTTGCACCGATAATGGCAGCCATCTCTGCACAACTTTACATGGCAGACTTACTTCATGTCGTCATCATCTACGTGGGCTGCGTCACCCTATACTTGACATTGATTGGTTTGTAAATGGACATGCATCTGACATCAGCGTGTTGTCAATTCAGCGGTTAGCTTTTACAACAATGTCATGTTATATTTTGTACTCCATGGACTGGACAATTTAAACTATATTGTGCAGCTACCATATAGCACACTTAAATATAAAAAAGCCATAAATATACTGGAAGAATTTAATTTAATTTGAGCTTCTGACAATGAAAGATGTATTTGATTAACTTTATCCTTTGCATTTTTGTTGTTGTAAAGAACTTTGCATAGTTACACTTTGCAGCTAGTTCATGTTCGGCAAGTAAAATTCCTTGTTGTGTGAACATTATATTGCCGCCGCCGGCAGGAAAGGTGGCTGAGCGGGAATTTGCTTCCATAAAGGCCATCTGTTTCACGGGCTATATATAATTGTTTCCTTATTTCAGTGCATTTGTTTGTTTCCGGTTTCGCTGTCACCACCAAACTTCCTGCAAATATTCTTAAAGTCCAAACTATCCAAAAAAAATCCTTTTCACACTAGAAACGAACTGAACCATGGTTCATTTTGATCCAGACCGAGACTACTTCTTTTTGTCAGACCAAAATTCGTCAGTTTAATCCAGACCGCGGTCGCAGGGAGATTTCACACCTGTAATTTTGGTTCGGCTCAAACTGTCCGTAAGTCCAGACCAAACAAGGTAGGTGTAGCCCCCTTATTGTAAGAAAATGCCCATATTCTGATTCATAGTTCCCCTGCGTAAAAGCAAGTTACCATGTAATAATTACCCAGGAGCAGCTTCTCTGAATACATCAGTTAACTGATTTCATAGTTTTGCATCAGCCATTGATGATAGCAGTAATGCTAATTAACTGACAATTTATTCACAGCAAGAGATCAGAAGCAGGCTGCTGAGCTAAATGTTAAAAACAGTGTACGTGGACCTGCGAGATGAATATTGTGTCTGACAAATTTGATCTATAAAAGGCAGAAAATTAAAAACACAAACTTCAGTTTAACATCCAGATCAGCTGACAGTAGTGGCACACAGACCCATAAATCTGTCCCACACATGATGATGCTCTCTCAGACTCTCCCCCTGTCCAAGCTGATTTTTTAAATTTTAAATCTGATAATTAAAAATATTCTGAAAATGAAAATTAATAAAAAATTGCTTTAAGTCATTTAAGCGACAACACTGGAGGCCCTCTCTGCTCCGCATCACTTGTCATTGACTATACTGCCATGCAATGGCAAAATGCAGTAACAGTCACAAAGATTTGCCACTACTGTGTAACATATTTTGTATCTTCATATTTTTCTTTCATCTATCATGTAAATGTCATATGTAACTTTTTTTCCCTCTAAACCCCAATATCAGAGCATCAAAAATCGCATTAAACTGTTTTGCATACATTTTGTAGTATTTACTCCAGTTTTACTTTATTCTGATGTCTATGTAAGCATACTGGTAGCCGCATGTAAAAAATACTAATATTAAAATACTGATCAATGTAGAAGGCAGCCATTCTTATTCAAAAGGTTTTTCAAATATAATTCAGCTGGATTTTAACTAAAAAGATCAACGTTTAGAGATTGTGATTTAAAACAATGTAACTACAGTGGGTGGTAATTACACATGGCCCTTTGTTAGCTGGATATTAGACATCATTAATGACAACGTATTCATTGTTGTATTCGGGGTAAAAAGAAAAATACTGTTATTGCTCATTCTCCTCTTATAAAAAGGTCATGACTAGGGTTCAGTTTTTTATCTCAAATAAGTGTCAACTAAACTACACACTATCTACTTCTATACTTACACTAGATTCACGTTTGAGTCACTTTTCTGCTCTCTGATTTTTCCAAGACAAATACGGTGTGCATCTGCATACACAACACACAAGTGGAGAGAGACACTACCATGGCTACACGGTCTACTGTATTAGCCTCATGTATGGCATCATGTGACAACCCTCGGCAAGGCCGGGGATGGCAGATGGATGCCCCACTGCTAACGTACTTACCACAACGCTCAGCCTGATGCCAATCCCTGCAGTGCCATCAACAAAGGGGAAGTGGGACAGAATCACAACAACGGGACTACGTCCTTTCAGACAACAGTACGCTGCATCAGCAAAACACAGTTTGAAGCGCAACACAAGCCTCACCCGTCAGGGCTCACTTCTCTTTTCAACTAATGCCTTCCTGTGATTCACATTCACCTTTCTGGTGACTTTTCCAACTTTAATGTTTTGTGTTGCATTGATTTGTCTTCTTAAAAAAAAAAACAATTTATTTTTCAGAGTCTGATGAAAGATTAAGGATTTGTGCAAGACAAATACAGGCTTGTGATTAGCGCTGAACACAAGTCATTTCTTTTGGTCAATCTTCTCAAATGGAAATATTTTCTGGTTTTCTTAGTCTTCTATCAGATTAAACTAACTATTGGTTGGTCTATCACTCAAATATTAACTTGGGGATACAGATACGGACTGATATGGACAACGTCACCACTTTTAAGGCTAGACTTAAGACTTTTTTGTTTAATAAAGCTTTTAGTTACGGCTGGATTGAGCAAACTTTAAATGATTAAATCGTTAACATTTTATTTTGCTGATTTTATTGTGATTGCATTTTATCTTGTGTTTTTTTTTTTACATGCATTCTGTATTTTATGGTTTTATTTTATTTAATTTCAGTGCATTTTGTAAAGTGTATTAGGACAATATCTCTTGGTGATTTTGCACTTTAAATAAACTTGATTGATTGATTGGCAGATGTTGCAGTTTTCTACAGCTGCTGTTGCTGCTGAGGACCCATATCTTTTGAAAAACACCTTTAATTCTGTTGTTTATCTTATCTAGCCCAGTGGGTTTCAGAGTGGGGTCTGGGGACTCCCAGGGGTGCTTGACGGGGTTCCCAGCAAAAAGGGGAATACTTTATTTTCGTTATAATTCCATCCATAAGTTACACAATGACAGACTGTATGACTACTTGGGTCATGGGTTTCATACACTTTCTTTAATAAAACATCTAAAAGCAAAAGTCCAGTCAGATGGGGGACCGTGGGACAAACTCTTATCAAGGGGGGGTCAGTGGTCTAATTTGTGTCAGTTTAGGGATCTTTGATGCAAAAAGGTTTGAGAAGCACTGGTCTAGGTTATTGATGTTTTTGCCGTGTTCGTCTCTCTCTCTTTTTTAAAGTGCCTTTCATTTGACCTGCTCTACAGTATTTTGTGTATGTGACACTCACTGCCTAAATTATTTTGGTCTGAGCCTAAATTCAGAAAGCCAAGCTGTTTGTCTCTGTAGTTGTCATGGTTTCATGTCCCACATGGTATTTCTAAGCAACAACAAGGACCTTTAGGCTGCTTGAATTAACCTTTTTTTTTTTTTGGAAAAAATGTGGTCAATACTGAGAGGCTTAACGGAGACAACTTTCCGATAGCAGAGTAATTACTGCTTCAAACTATTTTATGACATTGAGCTGATTTTGCACAGGATTCTTGGGAGGGTAAATATTAAAACTTTATAAAACGTCTGAGGCGAGCCATGTCAATTTTTACTTTTACCGGAAGATGTTTCAAGGATGTTTAACCCTGTGTCCAAACTATACAAAACATATAAATTTTAACAGAAATAAGTTAAATAAATAGTGTACAATGTATCGCGCAATACAATGTTTTGAGGAAGGAAATCCCTACTTCTAGTATGAGTTCTCTCATTGCCAGAAGTGGCAGCAGTTTAAAATAAACTGTTTTGTTCCCCTCTTCTCTTTCCCTTGCACTTTCCCTCCCGTTTCTGCTGGTGAAGGGTACATACCCTGTAGGTTAGACAGTGCGTATTCCAGCCCTTTCATGGCCTTCACCTGGTTGCTCTTGAAGCGGGCCAATCCAAACTCCTGGGAAAAAGTCAGAACAGGAAATGGCTTTACATGGAGGACATCTGAAAAACAACACTTTGCTCACATTCCTCTCCTTCCTTTTCTCTGGGGATATTGTAGCAAGCCTGGCATCTTCCACATCTAATAATAACAATTTTAGGTTGACATATTTTTGGCACCGTTTTCACTTCTCCCCTTAAATAAGCAACTTCTTTATTTTGGCACTTGCAAACAGCCTCCCACGCCTCATACTATGACCTACAAATTAAACTAAGGCATTGAAAATAGTATTCTGTATGTTACCCCCTGGGTTAAAAACAAATGTATATACTTGAACTGAAGCGCAAATATATATTCTACACTGTAGGACAGCTAAAAGTAAGTGATTATAAATAAATACTATTCCTATCTTACTACTATTACACCTCTGTTCATATCCGACTCATGTAACAGAGCATAATGGCTCTTTCTAGCTGAAATCAGAAAACTTTTCAAAGGGAGAAAAAAAAAATAAATAAATAAATATATGAATATGATGAAAATGTCTCATCTAATTAATTACACTCAGAATAGCTTAACATTTTGATTTAAGCATGTGCAATTACTTACTGCACAAAGAGGTTAAAAGTACCTGAATAGGTCTGGAGAATCCATAAACACTTGAGGATATCCACGCTTCCCGTTTCAGCTGGGTGGTGGATGGCTGCTCCACAGAGTCTTGAAAAACACAACGCTCCTCAACCGACTAACATGGGAGAGAGAGAAAGGTCACAGCGTGTTAAAGTAAAGGACAAAGCTGTGGAACGATTTCACATATTTTTTTTTTTTATGTACAATTTCGACATACAGGTCCTCGAGAGCTGACTTGCATACGCTACACCACTTTATATAAGTGTTGACAACACAAACTGAATTCTTCTCTTTAAGGTTTAGCTTTAATTTATGTGAGAGGAATAATATAGCAAAGCAATCAATTATAGCCAGAAATATTTGGGAATGTTAGTTTGATTTGGAATAGGATGGCCATGACTGGATTCATAATAAAATCTGCCACCACATTTAGTTTTGTTTGTATTAAGTGATGCCACCCTTGGTCTCAAAGCTGTAGCAGACTACCAGTTTAGTGTTTCAAATGTTACCTTAACACTGTATTCTCCCAGACTCTTCTTGTCTATATTTGTCAATGCTTTGATCAGATCAGCTCTTTGACCACAACCAGTTAATTAGATTAACTTCCGGTTACGTTTTACACTGCAGTAGATTAAAAACATGAGTAGTTTACATTCAACGTGCATTAGTATATAGTGCACAGCAGTACAGCAGAATGTGAAAATAGCACACCTAAGAGCTGCAAATTTACAAGTCATGTCAAGGTCCTTCTTCCCTGGGAGATTATTACATCTGAACTGCGTTCAAACACTCGTCTCCTTTGAAGATCAGGCTGGTTGCATTAATAATACCCTTCCTGGGATTAGCAGCTACATGTGACTGCAGTTTGCAGCCATGGTACAGAGTACAGTCTCTTGTACTTCAACATACCAACATAGTGTACAGTATCAAGCGAGGAGAAACCGCAACACTAAGGAATAAGAACACATGTTTTGAATTTGCGAATTGCTTTTGAACTGTAGAAAATAGGAACCTCCAGGTATGAGATATTGCACCCGTAATGACACTTAACAGTGATGTCAGAATATAGTACTCTCCTATATCGCAGACCCAAGGGGATAACTAACCACTGGAGATTTCTTTTGGTCTCTACCATCCCCTGAGGGAAATATCTGGCTCTTTATCTGTTAAATGCTCTACCATGTTAACCAGCTAGTCGCTAACTGTTTCTGTCTGCAGTTTGGTGCTGACCAGTTAGCGTACAGTGTGTTTTTAAGAGCTTTTCTGCTGAAAACAGCAACATGCTGTAGCCAAAAATGACCCTATGAAAAAGTTAAGTTGTAGGCTGAATGGCTAAACAATGAGCTCAAACTTGATAGAAAGCTCCGTTAAGCTGAAAATAGCTGCAGAATCAAGTGATAATTCACACTCTCATTGGATATACAACTATCACAAAAAAAAAACATTATGTATTACAGCTGCCTTAAGAAACTCAGGCAGCTGAGAAAACTTATGGGAAATTGGCGGCAAAAAAGGTTCATAACAATGAAATGGGAATGTTACACTAAAAGCAACAAACCACAGAGAATCAGACACCTCACCATGAGAGTTGTGTGGTTGAGGTTCCAGGTGTAGGTGGTCAGGCTCCTGTTGACAGGGTCTACAATAGAGTCCTCAACGATGTACACACAGCGAGACATGCCGGCGGGGAAGAGCCGATCTGCCCAGCGAGGCATTCGATTGGTTTTCTTCAGGAGGCGTCTGGAGAGAAGTCGATGGTCCGCAGTCACCTCCCGGTACACAACGTCCTCTGTGAGAACATGGGTGCTAATAGATACAAAATCATACAGCCCTGTCAGCTACATAGCTACTGGGCACCGTTAAAGAACGCAATCACATTTTTTAAATCTAGCTTAAAACAACGGTCAGATGCCCAATTATACTCTGAAACAGTTATTACTTGCTGTAATCATTCCTTCTGTTCACACTGGCCATTAAGAGGTGTAAGTGATGGCAGACAAAATACATTCCAAAGTTTATTCATTTAATATAAAAAGACTATTTTTCATCTGTAGTCCCTGGACAGTTGTTACATAGTCAACCTAAAAAACAAATATGAAATTAATTTAACAATCATTTAATTTTAAGTGAAGGTGATGCTTCAGCAGTCTGGATTAGACATATCAAGCAGATGTCTTCTAAAGCCTAGTTCACTCTACACGATTTTTAGCCCGATTTGCCGCTCGGCAAAGCTCGGTAAATCAGCGGTCAATCGGCGGTCGCCAGTAGTTATGTGTGAAATACACGACGACGCATCGAAGCGGCTGCCCAATACATTTCTGACACATCGCTAGCGTCTGCCAGATATCTAGCATGGCAAATATCTGGAAGAGTCGCCGACTCGACATCCACATCCAGCCAATGAGAGCAGGCAGCTACTTTTTCCACCGCAAAACACTTTTTACTCACCTCCAGTTCTCTCTGTAGCACAGACGATCCCTGCCACCTGCTTGTGCTAATCCATTCGTTCACCCATATTTTTTGTTGTCTTTATAATTGCTATCTTTATAATAACAAACAACAGCTGTTTCATGTGTAGGTTCATGTCATTTCACATTTCACCTGTGTTATCTTGACAAAACGTGGTTTGGAGACCAGCGTGGGGTGACACAGCCGCTGTCAGCTTGTGTAGTGTGTGACCCCCTGTCACCGATCAGCCACGTAGTGTGAACGCCACAACGACTTCAAGACTCCCTTCACAAGTCGGCCAACGCTGAAAATCGTGTAGTCTGCACAAGGAATAAGTTACAGTCTGTTTAAGTACCAGTGCACCTTTTTGCTATACATTCACTACAGCTCAGCAAGGAAACACTCTCTGTGTAAACAAAAAGAAGAAACTCTGTACTAAAAAGACTAACTTCAGAGGAAACTCTCTACTTTGACTAACTCAAAGTTCAACATTGGAATACATTTTTGAACAGTGGATTTTGTCGTCCCCCCCCATCCCCCCCCATTCCTATCTTTTCCACTGGAAAAATATTAAGAAAGGATCTCTTCATGGCCAGTATGAATATTAGGAATGATTACAGCAAGCAAAAACAGTGTCAAAGTATATATAGGCATGTGAATGTTGTTTTAAGACAGACCATAATAAATGGGAACTTCTCCTTTAACTTTCAGGTTTCATATCAGTTTGTGATTTATTTCAGCTATGTTTGAAACAGCGATCTACTTTCAAACAGTCAATGTCCGGCGCAACTTTTAAGCACAAAATGCAACTGTGATATTTGTGAGAATAGAACAAAGACCTCTCAAGATTCTGATGTTGTTAGGTCAAGTCATGGACACCAATAAAAAAAGAGACTGAAATTGTAATTCTGAAAATGCTAAACCTAGTTTTACTTCTCTGAAATGTTTTCTCAGTTCTCTATCCTAATCATGACTAAGTGCTATTTTTAGTTGTAGGTTCACAAATGCAAAACAATGTACATAAGGGTCAAATATCCTCTATTGAGTTGAACTTTTGTAAATGCAATGGGGGTTTAATAATATTTAAATCATAATGATGGGATTTGTCGTCTGAATCACATAGTGAAAGTGTTATATTGTGACCCCTAATCCATCAATACTGATCTACAAATGTAAACAATTCGTATCAATTTATGATGAAGTTGGTTGCAAATTACAGTAGCCTTTGAAATACCACATTAAAAAGCAAAGGTTTACAATTTTGTCTTCTGTTTTTCTGGTCACCTATATCTAGACAAAGTTGAGTGAGTACGATTGTGTGTCCTTGCTCTAATTTCAGGCACAGAATGACTTAAGAAAATAGACTATCTCAAAGGCTGTGTTGGCTTTTGACACCCACCACATTTAGGATGAGCAAAATGATAAAATACCGACCACTGAAACATTACAATACCTGAATGGGTTAGGGTACCTCTGCCAAAATGCAGAGACAACATGGTCCCAAGTACTCCTGATGTCAATGTTATTGCAGAAATACTTGACCATTTTTCTCTTGCTGATGTACAGGATGGCCTGAATCCTGAACCCTGAGGTCTCTTGCTGCAACTACACAAGACAATGAAAACTTGTGTGCCGACTCCATCCAAATTCTGGCACAGTCCTGCAAAGGCGAAGAGAAAGAGCTTTACCAAATCTGTCTGGTTATTTTATCCATACAAAGCTTTTCAACTGATCTTTATCTTTATCGCCGTATCTGCCAATATCACAATTTTAAATTATTTGTACCTTGACAGAAGGATTTTAATAATCACCCACCAGTGTTAACCTATTACATTACCAATACAATAGTTATTTCAGCATTCACTACACTGCCCTACAGTCTTGTACTAACTGTATATACAGTAAGTTACTACTAGCCATACCACAACACTGTATATACTGCTATTTTCATATGCACTTGCCTGCACATAATAACTATATTTATGCTTGTCTTTATTGTCCTGTCTTCATTTATACCTTTAGGATTGGTCTTGGCACTGTGTTAGCTACTGAAAACCAGAATCAAATTTCTTGTAACATATACATAAGTAGTATGTAAGATGTAATGCATAGTTTGTCATCTTCACAACAAATCCTATAATATACGTTCATGGAAGTCTTACTTCTTCCAACACCTATGTAACGTTACACACATCAATTCGATTTATGGCTTGTCACTATGCTATAACTTAGCTGAGCTTATGGCTTGTCCTTACTTAGCTCGGTGGCTAATGTCACTGCTAGCGGTATATTATACTTCCCTGGACAGCTAACATTTACCTAGCTTCTTAAAACGGACTTGGCATAAATTACTCAATTAATTTAACAGTCTGACATCTAACGGTGAGACTGAGTGACAACCGGTACCGTTAACTTAACGTTACACTCTTTACTTTAAAGGAAGCTAGCTAGCTTACCATAAATCAAATCAACTGTTAGCTATGTTTATTAAGTTTAGCTAGACTTAACGCTAAGTGGAGAGTAACTGGACTTTCAAAAGCCCGTTGGTATCATGAAACAGGACAAGCCTTACCTGAATTCACTGCTAATGTGCCTCTACCCCACAGATTGACTAACGTTACATGTGACTGACAGGACGTTTTCAGTCGTTGAACAGTAGATGCGTTTGACTTCACGTGATCAATGCTGGAATAAGGCATGCTGGTTAGAAATTGTGCCCGACTTTCGCCGGCGCCAGAGCCCTTCAAGGAGAGAGTCGCGTCATCTCCGTTCACTCCAATGGACCAGTTTTTCACAGCAATGGCGGATCATGGAGCGTCTTTCCGAATAGTTCCCGGAAGTAAGCATCAAATGCTAGCAGCGCAGCAGAGCTGCAATAGAAAATGCTATTTGGGATGCACGTTTAAAAGGTAAGAGCCCTAACACAAAAAGTAGTACACTGACATTATAAAAACAAGCTTCTTCTTCTTCTTTGTGTTCATTCTCTGGTCGCAAACTAACTTTAAGGTGCATACCGCCACCTTCTGTATCGGAGTGTGTAGATTCATTTACTTACTGTGTATCAACTGAATTCAACAAAATGAAGAGAGAAAAAACTAAAACAAACAAAACAAACACTTTAAACCCTATTACCCAACCTTGTCTGAATTATATAATCTATTAATCCCTAATTTCCCTGAAATTCTGTCCTGAGCTCAAAACTGATTTTAAACTCCATTCCTGCCCTGCCTCATGCACTATATTCTTTCATGGCTCCCTCTCTGAATCGTATTTCCAGCACTGCATGATAATGTGCTCTACGTCTTCTAGAGTGTTACACCATTGACACCTATATGTTGTACTTTTCCCATCATTAAATGTTATGGTGACCTCCTCTCTCCTGTTACGATATCACTAACTTGTTTAGTATGAACTGACTTCTGTATTTTATAATAGTGTCTCTCTTTGTTGTCTGAATCATATTCCTTCTGCCAATAGTTATTTATAGCTGTTCTAATTAGTGATTTTGCTTCTCCTCTACCGTAAGCTACTTTTATTCCTTTGCTGTTGTTTACTTCTTTCTTTGTCAACGTATCTGCTTTTTCATTTCCTTTAACACCCATATGAGCAGGGACCCAACAAAACTGCACTGTTATACCCATTCTTTGTATTCTTAGCAACATAATATGCATTTCTGTCATTAGATCTTCTCTGACTGTTTGTCAAACCTCTGAGAGCTGCTGCTGAATCTGAACAAATGACTGTTTTCAATGGCTATACCTGCACAATCCACTGAAGCCCAAAAATTACTAAAATATGGATAATTAAGAGTCAATCTGTGATGTATGTTTACATTAAATTCTGGGATATAAATCCCAACTCCAACATGCCCATTTTCAGGATTCTTCGAACCATCTGTATATACTGTTACGAAACTATAGAATTGTTTTTGAATATGTTCTTTAACTGTTTGATTAATGTTATCTGTTATTGACCAGTTTTCCTTTTCTTCTAACAGCTGTAGATCAACAAAAGCATCTGGTAGAATCCATGGAGGAACATTACTTACCGTAACAGATGGACTGTAATTTACCTCTTTCAAACACATCTTTTCTGCGATGTTAACAATATTACATCCAAATCCTCCATTATTAGGCTTAGTATACTCCTAGCATTCACTTAAAACCTCAGTGGTAGGGTGTTCCCTTCCAAATCCTTTTAATCGAACCCAGTACGCTGCTGATATTTTCACTCATCTAAGATGTAATGGCAGCTCACCAGCTTCTACTAATAGAGCGTTTATTGGCGTTGTTCTCATTGCCCCTAAACATAGCCTCAATGCTCTGTTCTGAACCCTGTCTAATCTTTGTAAACTTGTTTTACTTGCTTTCCCATAAACTATACATCCATAATCAATAGTGGATCTTATTAATGCCCGGTATATGTTTAAGTGATATTTTAACAGTCCCCCAGTCATAACCACATAAATTCCTCATGAGATTTAACACTTTAACGCATTTTGTTCTTTATATGAAAATTCCATGTGTTCTTCCCATCAAACCACAGCCCAAAATTTTTAAATTCTGACTCTCTCTCTAAAGGTTGTCTGTATAGGGAAAGATTAATGTTTATTGGTGCTTTCTTTCGTGTAGATAACATAAAGCATGAATTAGTCACTGATATCTTGAAACCCCAGTTATATGACCACCTTTCCACAATCTGTAAAGCACCTTGCATATTCTTAATCACATGATTAATGTTTCTCCCTCTTTTCCAGATTGCCCCGTCATCTGCATATAATGCAGCATTTATATCTATATCTATATCACTGAATATATCATTTATCATAATAACAAGATGGGACTAATCGCACTTCCTTGATTCCATTTTCTGTTTTAAACTCACTAGACATATCTGATCCTACTTTAACCCTGAATGTACGATTTGATAAAAAATCTAGTATCCAGTTATACATCTTTCCCCCAATACCAAGCTTACTCATTTTAATTAATAGTCCTTCTTTCCACATGTAGTCATATGCTTTTTCAATATTTAAGAAAATGACTGCCATGACTTCTTTCATATGCAGAGTTTTTTCAACTTCATTGCTCATCTTCACTAAGGCATCTATGGTGGATCTTCCTCTACGAAAACCACTTTGACCTGGGTTTATCAATCCTTTATTCTCTAGAAAATAATCTAGTCTTTTCACAATCATCTTTTCCATTAATTTACATAAGTGTGATGTTAATGCTATAGGTGTGTAGTTGCCTGTATTATCTGGAGCCTTACCTGGTTTAACAAATGTCAGAATCAGAGCACTTTTCCACCATACAGCTTTTAATTGGATTTCCCCTCCTATGCTTGAACAAAATTGCCTCCATGCATTTCTCTTTGTCGATTTAATAACTTTCCTAACCTTAGCTCTCTTTTTTTTTTTAAAAGCTCGATTTCGTTCTTACTACACTCATCATTCCACCAAGGTACAATTTTCCTTTTACCACTTATTTTACTTATTGGAATATACATCGATGCGGTAATTGTATCGGTGTATTCATCTATATCACCTTCCATATTTTTACTCCTTTCAAATTCTGAATAGCATTCCTTAAGTTTATCTGTGTAACTGCTTCCCCATAAATTGTTGTGTGCATTAAAGTCTCCACACCGTATTTCTCTTTTACTATTTTCTCCTGCTATTTCATGGAACATTTCAAAAGTTAGAGGCTTACATGGATTATAGAAGTTAACCAGCGTAATATTTGTTCTGCATATTTCAGTAATTGCACATTCATATTTATTTGGACAAGATTATTTCCGGAATGCCATTCCATCCTTAATGAAAGTTGAACATCCTCCACCTTGTTTAATGTTTCTATCACATCTTGCTGAAGTGTATCTAGGTATTATAAAGTCTAATTGAGGTTTTAGCCAGGTTTCTTGAATGCAAATTGCATCTGGTGTAACATCTAGTTCATAAACAAACCTTTTAAACTCCTGACCATTTGAGATTATACTTCTTGCATTCCACTGTAAAATGTGGATTACCATTATGATATTTATTACTGTCTTAGTAGTTATCATCACAGTTTAGGGGATTAAGCATTTCATGTATTGGATCTCCCTCAGTGCTTGTGATCCCTAAATAATTCCTTGCTGCATCAACAATTGTATCAAGCCTAGTCCTTCCATCTTCCTGTTGTAGAGCTATGACACTAAATGCAACAAAGTTAACAGTTAAATCAACAAGTAAAGTCCCCTGCTTTACTTTGCACCTATGAGAACATGATTCGTGCACAGTGTCGGTTCTCTTTACTGTGGGAGGTTCCCTTTCTTCATTCGTTTGACTAAGGTTGTCATTTCGGCGTTCTGTCAGTTCCTTGTTCATTCTTCCTGCACTTATGCCTACCTTCTTTAATGCTTCAGCATATGAGACCTGATTCATAATTTTGTATCTTTGAACTTCTCTTGCTTGCCTTTGCACAACACAGCCTTGAAAAGCGGCTCTATGTTTTCCTCCACAGTTGCAGCACTTTACTCTCATTTCCCGTATGCATGATTCACTCCGCACCGTGCACCTTTCCTTTCCTTTACATTGTCCTGCAACATGACCCATACGCTGACACTTGAAGCATCTAAGATGTGGCAGAATATATATTCTCTCTCTGGGTAACTGAACATACCCATCAATACTTTCTTCTGTAATATTTCCTCAAAGTGAAGTAGTATTGATAAGCTCTCACTCTTCTCACCTCCTTTTTTACTGAACATTCTTTTGGTTTCCGTAACTTTTACTCCGTTCTCTTTAAGTTCTGACACAATTTCCTCAACTGATATCGCTAGAGGAACACCAGATATCACACTCCTCAATTTGGCAACTGCACCTGGTATGTGTGACTTGACTTTTTCTCCACCAATTTTGTTTAATATCATTCTCTGCTGTTCTTCATCTTTTGCAAAGATTAGCAGCCTTCTGTTGTTTAAGTATTTTGCAAACTTAACTTTTCCAATCTCCTTTTCAATTATCTTTGTGTTTTTAATTGGATTGAAGAGATTGCCAACTTTGTTACACTCAATGATTACTATCCATTCATTTTGATTTACGTTATTTCTAGTCACATCATTAATTGCAGGCCTGCTATTTGAGGCCTTGTCTGTGGTTTTTATCCTTTTAAAGGTATCCTCAGATCTCTTAGAGTTACAGATCTCTCATAATTAGCCCTTTTCCTCCTTTTCTGGTAGTGGACCTGTTTCCAGTCCATTCCACTATAATCCCATTCTTCATCTAAATTTTCCACCATGATTTCTACATTCACGATACGGTTGTTGCAAATCCGCCAAACCTTTTAAATGAGCTTATCCTCTGTTCTCCAACTCGCCTACAAAAACAATCTTCATAGTAAACATTAATTATATTAGAGCAATAGACTATGCGTGGCCTGCGATGGACTGGCGACCTGTCCAGGGTGTACCCTGTCTTGCACCTGATGTCAGCTGGGATTGGCTCCAGCCCCCCCGCGACTGTACGCAGGATAAGCGGTTGATGATGGATGGATGGACTCTGCGTGGTGGAGGAGCAGTGATGCTAAAGAGTACTGAGTGGACCATACACAATAAACCCTGCTGTAGACTACTGTAAGACAGTACACAGGCACAAACCACTTAACATGCTGTTTTCTGAGATTTATTAAATTAATACATGACAATCATTGATAGTCACCTATTTGTTCTATCTGAAGTCATAGAGATTACATTAGTCATTAAATTCAATTAACCCCGGTACCATGGGATTACCAAAAGTAATGTTAGAAAGGTAAATCTGATCTGAATTTTAAAACATTGTGTTTTCAAGAGGAACACATTTTCCAATGTAAGGTTAGCCAAAAAATGTTGTCGTCTTCTTTTTCTTCTTTGAGTTTTTAAGGCAGCTGGCATCCATTGAGTTGCATTACTGCCACCTTTACCCTCAGCTTTCAT